AAATATGGTTCCATGCAATAGTAATCACTATAAGTAAGCCAAACAAATCAAAATCACATCGAGACAGCTACAGACCAATATCTCTGATCTGTTGCACATGTAAAATATTGGAAAAAAAAATCAATAATAGATTAACTTGGTACCTCAAAAATAATAAAATTATTTCAAACGTACAATGTGGAGGCATCAAGGGAAGATCAACACTAGACCACTTGGTATCACTAGAAACCTTCATAAGGCTAGCTTTGAAACAAGGAGAACAAGTTGTAACATTATTTCTCGATATTGAAAAAGCCTATAACACTGCTTGGAATTATGGAATTATAAAAAAGCTATACAAATCAGGATTAAGAGGACATTTCCCAGAGTTTATTCAGGCCTTTTTAAAAAATCGAACATTCGTTGTAAAGGTCAATAACTCCTCATCAGAAACAATGTCCTCAGAATTAGGCACTTCTCAGGAAAGTATCCTTTCTCCAAACTTTTTTTGTCTGAGCATCAATAATGTAACAAAAATAATTCCTAAAAATACAATGATATCTCTTTACATGGATGACATAACCGTCTCGTTCAAAAATAAAGATGTTAATAAAATACAGATAGAAATAAATAAAACCATGAAGAATATAGAGAAATGGTCACTAGAAAATGGGATACAATTTTCAAAATCTAAATCGAAAGCAATGTTGTTTTCAAGAAAACGAAACAAAACATACCCCGAACTGACTTTTCAAGAGATATAAATATTTAGGAATAATATTCGATGCAAAACTAAATTTTATACCTCATATACAGCATACAAAAAAGAAATGTCTAATGGCTCTGAATTTAATTAAAGTATTGTCTCATTATACATGGGGTGCACACCAGAAATACTTGATGACAATCTACCGAGCAACAGTAAGATCAATATTAGATTATGGCGGCCCAGTATAGGGTGGAACCAGAGAATCTTATATGAAAATCTTCAAACCAATAGTAAACAAAGCTCTAAAAAGATGCTTAGGAACATTCCAAACATCTCCATCAAACAGCCTTCATATCTTAGCAGGAGAGATGCCGCTAAGCCTTAGACATCAAAACTTAGCAATTAATTATTACCTAAAACTTAAATCTCAAACAGAAAATCCTGCTTACAAATACATAATAGCCAAAAATCAATCAACAAAAGCAAAATTCATTCCTACAATTGCTACAAGACTAAAAGAATATACCAAAGAAATAGATAAAATAGAAATTTTGAGGGAGGTAACTCACAAAACCCCTCCATGGCTGATGTTTTGTGCTGAAATTGATGAAACAATAACAAGAGCAAGCAAAGACCAAAAACTGGCCAAAATATTATTCAGAGAAAAAATCTACAATAACGAAGATAATATTAAAATATTCACTGATGGCTCGAAAAAAGAAAATTTAACAACAGCAGCAGTGATATCCCAACAACAATTTCAATAAACCAACAGCCTTACTCATCACCTTTCAAACTACACTTCAATATACACAGCAGAAATAACAGCTATAGACATGACATTAAACTCCATATATCATTCAACAGAAAAAAACTATAAGATTTTCACTGATTCGCTATCAACTCTCATAGCATTAAAACAGTACAAATCTCGACATCAGTTAATTTTTCAGATGCAAAACAAAATACACGACATACTAAGTAATAAAAATAATATTACTTTAATCTGGATCCCTAGCCACATTGGAATCGAAGGAAACGAAAAAGTGGATCAATTGGCATCACAAGCTTACTCAGATTTTCCATCAATCATTCCAATACCATATCATGACAAAAGAGTGATGAAAAACGACTTTGTATCTGATAAATGGCAAAAGGAATGGAACAAGATAAGTTATTTCCTCAAAATAGTAATGCCAGAATTAAATAAATCCAAAAACATCAAAATCAACGAGCTAAGTCGAAATGTTTTAAACATCGTAAACAGACTAAAAGTTTTCTATTCCAAATTAACCCATTCATGGATTCTAAACAAAACGAGCTCTCCACTTTGTAAGAACTGTGATGCGAAACTAACAATTCAACACAGATTAATAGAATGTCAAACATACAAAGAATCCAGAAATAAAGACAAAATACCAGAAGATATTCATTCAATTTTTAAAGATGAAAATATAAAAAACCTAATGTCGTTTATCAAAGAAATAAACATTTTTAACAACATCTAATTCCCCCACTGTTCAAAAGTGATTTGTAAAAAAAAAGAAAAGAAAAAAAGAAAGGAAAGGAAAAAAAGAAATAAAAATAAAATCAACAGGGACCAAAAGCGTAAAGATAGCTTATCAGAGCTAAAGTGCCAAAGAAGAAGAAGAACTGCAGAAGAAGATTTCAGATTTTGGGAGAGCTTAGCAGATGATCGCGCGGCCTTGAGGATGTCAGTCAAGCAGGGTGCAGTGCGTGTTAAACCGGAATGCTGCTCTGAAAAGATCCAGGCTGAAACAGCGTCAAAATCAACTGCAGCAGTCGACTGTCTTTATTTGTGCCGAATGTGGTAGAGATTATTTCAAAACTGGTTTGCTTAGCCATTCCCGGCGGTGTAGGATTCACTAACTTTGGTTATAGTTTTACCATCGTCTCTCGAGACGGAAAAATGCCGAAGGTATAAATATTGACGTCTGGTTAGCGTTGTTGTAGTTACACCGATATATGACCTGGTATATTTGGACTTTGCCAAGGCCTTTAATAAAGTGCCAAATAAGCGATTTCACATAAAACTAAAAGAGGCAGCAATAGGAGGAAACTTACTCGGTTGGTGAACCAATTGGTTGACCCAGAGAAGACAAAAAATGGGTATCAGAGGACGCTATTCGAACTGGGTAGATGTTACAAGCGGTGTACCTCAGGGCTCAGTGCTGGGGCTACTGTTGTTTATTATTTTCATCAATGATATTGATAGTGAAATTTATTCCAATATAGTCAAATTTGCGAATGATACAAAGCTCTGTGCTGTGTTGGATAAAAATGAAGATGTAGAAAGACTGCGAACTGATCTAAAATATTTCGCCAGTGGGTGAAGGGCTGGCTGATGAAATTTAACATTCACATGGGGACAAAAAACTAACAAAATATATTAAAATTTGAAGACAGATCTCTAAAGGTTTCATCGGAAAAAAGGGACCTTGAAATATTTGTAGACAAAAGTTGGGAGAACCAGGCAATGCAAAGAGCAAATAATACGCTTGACATGATAAAAAAACGATCGTTAACAGAGATTAAGTATTAACACAAGAGGGCACCAGTGCATGCTTTACAAAAAAGAGTAGGAACAATAGAAGGAAGATTTTTCAGTTCGAGAGTTATTGAACATTGGAATAAACTGGACGAAAAAAACTGTAACAGCTTCTACAATGCAGGAGTTTAAAGTCAAACTTGGAAGATTAGGATTTTAATTCTGTATTATTTATATTATTAGTCAAAATCGTTTCAGTGTTTCTCACACAGAAACTAACCACTATAATCTTTGTTATGTTGTTACTAGATTGTTTGACTGAGATAAGTGTGTGTCAAACTCAACTCTCAACCAGGGTAAAACTAAACTGATAAAAGTTGGCACATAGCAGCAGTTGTCGCGAGTCAAGATTGATTTTATTACTCTATAGACATAATATTGAGTGTAGCATTAATGCCACTAATCTGGGAGTGATCTTTGACTCAAAATTGACGTTTGTTGATCACATCAAACTACTAACTTAAGTGTGAACTGCTCAATTACATAAAATACGTTCTATAAGAAAATCCTTGAACAAAAGTACGATTGAAGATTTAATGCATGCGTTCATTCACTCTCGGTTAGACTACTGCAACAGTATGTATTAAATTGTTCACGGTGCGTATAAATTTGATCATGTATCTCCGATTCTTGCTCAGCTTCATTGGTTGACTGTCGACAAGCGAACAATTTTTAAAGTTTGCACAATAGTGTTCAATAATTCCGCACCAGAGTATTTGAAGAACAAATGTCAGTCGAAAGCATCATCTTCCCTCGGCCTGCGTTCGGACGATTTAAACTATCTGTCGGTCCCGTTGACTCAAATGAAACTTGGATCTAGAAGCTTTGCCGTGTTTGGTCCTAGAGTCTGAAACGGTCTTCCCAAAGACCTGCGAGACCCTGCTCTGGGTGTTAAGAAATTTAAGAAGATGTCGAAAACATATTTATTTTCGCTGCAGTGTCAATCATTTATGTTTATTTTTTACTGATCTAATGTTTATTTAATGTTTGATTTATTTGTTTGATGAACGTTTGTCTTCGACTATTTTGTATATTATTTTATTTGTAAGCGCTTTTAAAAAACTATTTAATTAGCGCCATATAAATATTTGTGTATATATAGGTTGTGTTATGTTATGTTATTCTGACGTGCACAGCCGTCAATGGAACATGTAAATTCATATATTGGATGGCTATATTTTAAAGCTGAACCACGTCGAGGAGTGCAGTTGTTATTCATGACAAGGTTTGATGTCTTTGCATTCCTATAATAAATTCGTAGTTTTATTTTGTTGGAAGGGTTAGTAGGTTTGAAATTTTGATAAATGATTTGTTTTAAAGCGGATATACTACCATTAAAATTATCTGAGATACAACCATTAAAAGTATCAGAGGCACCACAATAAAATTTATCTAAAGTATAACGATGAAAATTACTTTTGGTATCAATATTAAAATATCTGAAGACCGGTAAAAACATTAAAATATCCAAGGTACATGTTTGAAGTGTCCGAGAAACCGTCACTTTAATTAAATATTTTTTATGGATAAATATAATGATGGTTATTTCAAAAAAGATAATAATTTATATTCGCGCATGTTCCATCAGAATACGTTTATTTACTTATAAAGTTTTATCATCGAATCGAATGATAGCAATTTTCAAAATTTTTAACTTGTTTTTTATATCGATTAATTGAACATACTTTATTAGTTTTATAATGAAATACGTTGAGAATTTATTGCAAAAAACTATAAAATAACCTTTAAACACGTGCACAAGGAAACAGGGAAAGTGAAAGCGATGATGATCCATGACATGATAGTTAACAACCATCCACATAATCCTAAGCCCGGTCTGAAATCATCGCCTAAAAATTTTCAATCATAGAAATAAATGTTTTAATGTGCGTATTTTATTTCTTCAGACACCATATTAAACTTTTAATGTTTAATCAACTAGTCGGTAGTTGGACTAAATATTATAGATGACATCTTCAAAAGCCATTTAAATAAAATATTCGTACTACATTACTTACTCTGGTAATGATAAGACACCTTTCTTTTAGCAGAAGCAGCAAATACACTTGAAGCGTCGATATTACAACCGTCGTCGTTGTCAACATCCATGTTGAATGCTTCCCGCGAAGCTCCCATATTATATTTATGTTGTTTTGAAAAATTTTCGGATGCTGTGCATTAATTTAACTCTGTAGGTTTCATAATTCTAAAATATTTTTGATTAACCAATTAGCTTCAATTTAATTTAATTGTAATTAAATTAACTATTCGGCTTTTTGTTTTTATATAAAAATATCCATATGTGCAATGTGCATGTATATTACAAAAATATACTTATAAACTCTAATAAATTATTAGATTGCTTTTAAAAAACAAGTGAGTTGAAGTTACTTAAAATGTTTTGGTTTTACGGCAAAATATTATTTGCTTAATTAAAAAACAAATGTCCGGTGAACTTTTGCTTGCCAAAAACATACTAATTGCAGCTTCAAAATCGCTCCACACCAAAGTTCAGAATGAAAAAAGCAGCCTAAGAGAAAAATTAATTTGCATATAATTAAGATGAGGAAATGTGAAAAATAAACACCTACATCGCCGGAGATTGATTTGAAGTGTAGATTTCGTTGCAGAATTTTTTTAGTTTCTAGTTTTAGATAGTTTAAAAATTTTTTGTAGTTTTTAATCGTTTTAGTTTCTAAGTTTTTTTAATATTAATGATTATATCGCTTTAAATTTGTTAGTTTATTAAAAAGTTTTTCAATAGTTTTTAACACCAACACAAAATTTCAATTTTTTTTGACTAACATATATACAAAATTCAAGAAAAAAATGTATATAATATATAAAACAGAACAATTTTAGACGTATAAATACAAAGCTTAAAGTTCATCTATTAATTAATTTTTAATTTTCGTGAGCATTCTTTTTTCCAAATTGTTATCTAATAGATTTCTTCTTCCAGATGTATGAATTCTACACTGCAAAAATGTTTTTTCTATATACTCTTGAGAGGACGGAGCTGAAATTAAATCTAATGCAACTTTACTTAAAATTGAGAGCTTAAAATTTATGATTCCATTTTCTGTGTCAGACCATCTCATCATATATAAAAGTCATATTTAAATATTGAGTCAGCTCACATTCTGGAGTTGTTCAACAATTCTTGATACTTTTTAGAATGGTTTCCATGTGTCTTTAAGTTTGTTGGATTTTTTTCCTTTAATTCCTTTTAATTGCAATTCCCTTCATTACATAAAAACAAGCATGTATTACTATTTAATTTATATTTAAAATAATTTCATACTGGACTATTTCTACAACGGCCTGAAAGCTTACTGACTCTTAAATAAAATTATGAGGTACCTACAAATTAATTATTAAAACAATAAATCAACTTTAAAAAATGTAATATTATGCAACGTGACCAACAAATGATTCAAAAAGAAAGTTGGAAATTAAATATTGAACAATGAAATTGAAACAAAGACAACAGCAAATCCTATTTTTTATTAAAATTTTAAAAATTTTGTGTGAAATTATATTTGAATTCAATTTTTTGTTTCACATCTTCTTTCGTTTAGTTTTCGTTAAAAATTTTTCTTTTTTTTTATTTTCGTTTAATTTTTTTCGTTTTTGCTACGTTTTAATATTTAACAACATTTTTTTTTCGTTTAGCTAGTTTTCATTTTCGTTTACAAAATCTACACTAATTTGAAATATTTTAATTGAAATAAATTTAATTTTGAAGAAAATTCGTTTAACTGCTTATAGAATAATAAAAGATGTTTTATGCCTTTTTTGTTTTTAAGTTTAATTTTACGCATAGTGAAATTTAGAAAACCTAAAATGTCGAACAAGAAAATGAAAAATTGTGTGCATGTGTCAGAATCAGCAAATATATAATGACCAAATTGTTTTGTACAAAAACTTTTTTGGATAAACATCATGGACACTTAAAAGCAATGAAGGGATATGAGTCGTTTGTTAAAATTATGGGTAAAGTAATAATATTATTAAATTTTATTTAAACGTTTTAAAAACCGTTATTAATTTTGTGAACTATAGAAAGATAAAGAATATTATAAAAACAGCGTTTTATTTATTGATGATAAAAAAAACTTCATTTGGAAATACTAAATGATGTTTCAATAGATTCCAGTTTGTTTTCTAAGATTACAAAAACATTATATTCCTTTAATTTAAATGAAATTTAAATTAAAGGAATTACTTACCTCGCCAATCCTTTTAGCCTGACATAAACGCTTGATTGATTTGCTAAATCTTTTCAATAAATATGTGATCAGAAAATATAAATAAAGGTTTGTTTTTTAAATTAAGTTTCCAAGGATGTATTTTTATTAATAAATGTTTGCATTAATTCAGTTTACGAGAATATTAAATTTGGTAAATCTAGAAAATAAGAATACACGAACGATATGTCATGTGTACAATTATAAGCTATAGCAACGTTTATTTTATGCGTGCACTTTCAGCACGTTTTCTGTTTATATGTCGTACAGCCATGACGAGTGGCTACAAAATGCATGCACAACCATCATAGCTGCTGCGGAAGACATCAATATTTTTGTGCTAGTATGAGAATGAAAATATTGCAGCACTGGTTAACGCATGTCATTTGGACATTTCACGTTATTAATTATGAAATCAAACACTTATGTCAACATGTACATGAAATGATTTAATTTTATTGCAAACCAAATTGTTTTATTAAAAATTATGTAATATAATGTTCTTTATTATCTTTAGTGCCTATTTTTCATATTTTAAATTGTGATTTGTATCTGTTTTACTTAAATTCATTTGGATGTTTTTTGCAAAACACCATTTGTTAACCAAGTTAATCTTCCTATAGAGTAGTGTTAGTCAGTGGTGTTTATTTTTATTGGAAAGTGTTACAAAAATTACGAGGTAGCGGATGTGTTTTACTAGAGAACTGTTAGTAAGCGTGTATTGCAGGTAGTGTTAGGTGGGTGTTATATTTTGAGAAAATATTAATAAGCGTGTTTCATTACGGAATAATGTCGGTAGATGTTTTATTACGGGTTAAGGGGGAGTGCTAGTCGGTGTGTTTTTTTTAAAGATACCGGGTGTGTTTTATTACGGAAAATGTTTATGTGAAAATGTAAATGTGATTTGTCATGGGTAGTGTTAGTGGAAGTGTCTTACTAAAGTGAAGTGTTAGTTAGAAATTCTTTTTACAGAAACGTTTCATTTAGGAATAGTGCTAGTTTGAGTGTTTTATTAAGACAGAGAGTTTTATTAAAAAAGTGTTTGTCGGAGTAGTGCTGGTTTGAATGTCTTATTTAGGAGAAGGGTTAGTTGGAGTGTCTTATTCAGGAAAAAGGTTAGTTGGAGTGTCTTATTCAGGAAAAGCGTTAGTTGTAATGCCTTATTTTGGAGAAGTGCTGATTGTGTCTTGTTACAAGGATGTATTTGTTAGAGTGTCTCATTACGAGGAGGTACTATTTGGAATGTCTTATCACGGATTACTGTTAGCAGGTGTGTTTTATTACTGGTAAGTGTTGCATGTGTCTTATTGCTAGAAAGTGTTAGTAGGCGTGTTTTTTACGGGGTAAGGACATTATTTGTTTTTTATTACAAAGAAATATTAGTATATGTGTTTTAATTCGGATAAGTGTAAAGAAGTGCTTTTATAACGGAAAGTGTTAGTGGATGGGAGTGTTTTATTAAGAGGAAGGAAGGGTTAGCCAAAGTAATTTTATCAAACCAGTTAACAAAACTCATTAATAACACTAAATTGATTACCAACAATTTAACAAAATTGATTAACGTTCATCAGAAACATTAACATCTTTTAAACAAATTTGAAAACCAACAAGTTACTTATGTTTTTCTGATGCAAGAAAAATATAATTAAACATACGTTAATACATACAATAAACCACAAATTCAAGAATGAATTAATTGAAATGTAAATGTTCTAACAAATTAATTAAAATATGATACATTTTCTTGCAAAAAATTGAAGGTAGTACTACATACTTATTGAAATTACACGTTTTTGTGTGGTAAATTCAATCTTTTAGTATAACAAACTAATGAAAGTATTATATTAAAAAATAAAATGCTAAACTATTTTTACCTTAGCCTCAATTATAGATAACAATATCCTTTTTTAACTTTATACAATTGAATTCTAATGATTTTTCATAATTATTTAGCATATAAAAGTTCATTTTAAAATAATAATTATTGATAAACTAATAAAATTGTTTTTAAATAATCAGTCAAAAAAATGAGCTCTTCTTATTGGGAAAAGCATCAAGATTCTATGCGCATCATATTTTATTTGCGCCCATGCTGCAAGTATGTCACACGCCACACATATACAAAATTATACATGCATGCAGATATATATATTTTGTTCAGCTCCACCGTATTTACCAGGTTGTTTTTTTTCAAGTTTTCCGATTAAGTTTTTTATTTCCATAATCAAAACCATTTTCAAAAGTCACTTTTATGAGTTTTTTATTTTTACTACGTTTCGATGTCAGTGCATCATGTTCTGGGATAGATTATAGAAATTTAGTTTTTTATTCATAGATAATGAATAGTGTTTTATATTAAAGTTGAATTAAAGTAAAGTTAGTTTTAACAAGGGTTTAAATAATGAAGTGACATAGTTAGTCATAGGCGTAACCAGAATTTTGTTTCGGGAGGGTTAAAAAACATTATTTTTTTTACAATGTTTAACTCTGATAAATGCGTAAATATAGGTACAAACAATAAAATTGAATTAATACTACCAATATATACATGTAAATATACCAAAAACTATTATTCTTTTAACA